AGATATTTTAGACTTAATTGTGTAATTTAAATTTCAAGCATGTAAATAATTATTAATAAAGGAGATCTAATATTTAATTTATTAATTCTTATCACGTTAACTTCATCATAGGGTACCGATTTAGGGCGTTGTAGGGGTGCTTAATATCTTCCGTACACGTAACCGACCCCTGAACTCAATTCTGGTTATCAAGGCCATTATTGGATTTTTAAAAAACCTCCCTTTTTCCAATGTTTTGAGTAAAACATTGGTGGCGACTCCATGAACTCTATTTTCAAAAGCATTAATTAAGGATTAGTCTGGTGTGCGGGCATTCCTTAATTGATGAGATCTTTAAAAGGATGTCTAAATCATTAGTCACAGGATCAGAAATTTTCAAGTTGCGACAGCGTGGAAGGTACTTTCCTTGCTTGGTGTATCCACGGCCTTCCAAGGAGACAATTGTAAGTAGGAGCGATGTCCATTACTTGGAATTCCACATTCAAAAAGGTAGGTCCTACTTGGATGGGTAGGACGACCTCTCCCATTACTTCCCTTTAAGATCCATCGAAAGCTCAAATAATCATATTGCTTGGTTGCATCTGAGCTTCCTTGACCATTAGCTTGTCGAAAGTATTCTTAGATAGCACATTCAAAGAAGACCCGTTATCTACTAAGACCTTGGCGATGAGAAAATCCTTACACTTTACGGATATATGTAAGGGTTTATTGTCGTCTAGTCGACCATTGGGTATCTTGTAGTCGGTGAAGGTTAAGTGATCGTTATCCGTGATGTGGCTTATGATCCCTTCAAATTTGTCTTGGGATATGTGGTGTGCAACGTAGGCTTTGTTCAAGACTTTCAACAGAGCCTTTCGATGTGTTTCAGTGCTCATGATCAGCGAAAGTAATGTGATCCTTGAATGAACTTGAGGAATTCATCTTCCTTATCGAACTCTGTTCTTCTTTCCTCTTTGTCCTTGTCGCCACCGGCCCAAAAGGGCCTCGGCGGTCGCGAAGACGGTCGAGCTCGCTTATTATTTTAGTTTTGAAAATGTATTGGATTATTAGAACGACTTGTTCTCAAACTGAGACCTTGTCGATCTTATCCAATTTATTTATTAAAAGTCTCACTAATCCATATTAATCCCAAGCGGGACCCTCCATGGATTAGTGGTTTTCGCAAAAGGAGGGTTCGTGGAGTCGCCACCAATGTTTTACTCAAAACATTGGAAAAAGGGATAAGGCAATTGATTTTATAAATCAACTTTGGCCATTACAACCAGAGTTGGGTAAGGGAGTCGGTTACGCGTGGGGAAGGTGTTAGCACCCCACAGCGCCCCTTTCGGGTTCCCTATGACAGATTATCTTCGTACCACTGAAATATTTAGCCGAATACTTAAAAAATAGCCCAAAAAGTGAAATGAATGCTGGGATAATTGGTTTATATGAATCGTTACTGATTGAGACCAAATATCAAAATGACATTGCCATAAATAGATAAAATAGTATTTCCATTTATTTATCAAAAGAGGAGTATTCTTTGAAACCAGAATGGATTTTCCTTGATATCTAACATAATGGATGAAAGGATCCTTGAAGAATGATAAGGTATATGAAAAATCCGTAGTAAATACTTCTACAAGATATTCTATTTTTTCATAGAACAAAATTCGCTCAAAAAAAACGTGAAAATATTTTAATCGTAACTGAGAGGATTTGTTACGTAAAAAAAGAAAGATAGATTCTGATTCCCGGACGTATAAATTATATAAGAACAAGAAAAATCTTGGATTACTTTTTGAAAAAAAAGTAGAAATCCATTTTTTTGGAGTAAAAAGACTATTCCAATTACAATAGTAATAAAAAAACAACCTTAATAAATGAAAGAAAGAGACATCTTTTATCCAATATCGAAGGATTTGAACCAAGATTTCCAGATGGATAGGATAGGGTATTCGTATATCTGACTCATGATTTAAATATATAAATTTATCTTCTAAAAAGGGAAAAATAGAATGAATTGATCGCAAATTATTATAAGATTTTACGATTTCTAATTCCTTTAAGGAAGAGATAAATAATTGTAGGGAAAATAGAATCTCCACAACGACAACAAAACCTTCTAATATTATTTGAGAATAAAAATTATTGTTATAAAACCCCAAAGGATTTTGGTTAGAATCTTTAGCAAAAATGATCAAATGAGTCTGTTGACACATTCGAGTAATTAAACGTTTTACAATTAGTAAACTAAATGGATTGTTATAACCTAAATTTTCTACAAAAAAGGACCCATGACCATAAGCGAGTCCATAAATATACTCCCGAAAAAAAAGTGGGTATAAGATGTCCTGGTAGCGAGATCTATGGAGTTCTAAATATGCTTGATATTCCTCCATTTAAAAAGTCTATTTGGTCAAACAAAGAATCAGAGATTCATTGGATTATCAAATGGTACATAGTGCGATACGGTCAAAACAGGGAATTCTATATAATATATAAGATACCTAAAAAACGAGTAAAACCCATCAACGGACTCTCTCTAATCGCTTTTCCACCTAATTTTTGTTTTAGGATAACAAGCTAGTTAGGAATCCTTTATTTTTTTTTTTCAACTCAATCGCTCTTTTGATTTTGGAAAAAAAAATCTTTATCAATATACTCTTTCTTTTACACATTTATAGCTACCCCCCAATATAATATAATGGAAAATGGCTATATAGTTAGGACTCATAACAAAAATAAATAATCCATTCACAGGAAAAACTTTTCCCACATCAAGCACTAACCTCTTTTTAACGTACAATTAGATGGGATAATCATTCAATAAAAAAAAAAATGAAAGAAAGCTCGTTGCTTTATGTTTCTCTATTATAATTGGAGCCGCCAAGCTCTATCCCTTTATTAATTAAACCCAACTAAATTTTTATGTTCTGAGCCCATAATTCAAACAAAAATTTGGGCCGGATCCAATAAGAATGAAATCTTTTTAGAATTCTTCATTGATACGACATGCTACTTTTTCCATTCATTCCTTTCTGGATCAGTCGTGGTTTTACAAACTCTACCAATGGTATGGACGAACCAATTGCTTCATAGAAATGTGTAAAAAATAGAGCCGCTCTTAAAAGCCGAGTACTCTACCATTGAGTTAGCAACCCAATACAAATTATAAATATAGGGCGGGTGTATATCCAATCGCAATAAAAAAAATAAAAATAAAAGATTGAATTGTCTAATATTTTCTTTTATTAGACTAAATATTAGACTAAAAAAATGGAAAAAAAACTTAAAATGTTAAAGGCGAATTGATTCTCAACATACAAATGAACAGATAAAACCAAAAATTTTCTCAAAACAAAATGATAAACCACTTCTTTATCTACTATAGTTATACATTATTATTATATTATTAATATAATTTTATTTTCGTTTTTAATTTATTTTTCAATTCAATCAATTATCCATTAATAATTCAAAAAATTACCTTTTAATCAATAAATAATTTCTTGTTTGTATCACAAAAAATCCAACGAACCTACCATTTGATGAAGTAAAAAAATCTATTTAACATGAGTCTATTGATCAATTTATTCATGATCGGATTATATTTATTTGATACACTGTTGTCAATATTAGTATTGAAAAAAGAATACAATCGAGGAAACAAACGAATCAAATAAAAATGATAAAATAGAATATTACTGAAAAATTAATATGGATTACTGAAATATTAATTTTGCATTTTTTTTTAATATTATGAATTCGATTATTATTATGTTATAATTATTTATAACATAATTCTTTAAATATAAATTTGATTATATTCTAAACTAAAAACTTAAAAAAAAATGAGAAATATATATATATAAATTTAATATAGAAATAAATAAATAAAATAATAAGAAAATAGAGCACCCCCCTATTTATTATGTGAAATTCACATAGAAAAACGAAATAGCCATTTTCTCTTAGAAATTGTTATAACTTAACTTTTTTCGTAAAATATTGTCTGCTTACTACGTTTCTATTTCAACACGAAAAAAAGATACATTAATATATCTATCTATATATAGATATATAGATAGATATATGGATAGATACAATAAGTGTCTTTGTATTGTATTCGGCTCAATCTTTCTTTCTAGGAAAAGATTGGGCCGAGTTTAATTACAATTAATAGAACAAAAATCGAACAAAAAACGGTAATTACTAAATTGTATCTACTGCTTCGAATTCAAATTTGATCGCCTTCCATACTTCACAAGCAGCAGCTAATTCAGGACTCCATTTGCTAGCCTCACGGATAATTTCATTACCTTCACGAGCAAGATCACGTCCTTCATTTCGAGCTTGTACACATGCTGCAAGAGCTACTCGATTAGCTACAGCACCGGGTGCATTTCCCCAAGTAATAATAAAAATAAATTTATTAATAAAAAAAATACTAAAAAATTACAATAATAAATGTGAATAGTAATTTTTTTGAAATAAATTGTAAACTTGGATAATGAAATGCAAATTAACTCATGAATACTAAGAAGCCAGTATAACTCATTCCCACTAGGTCAATCTCTATAGGGATAAAGTCACAAAACTCTAATCTAAGTTAGTGGTTAAATCTCGGTACTTATTTAAGAAGCCCAATTTTCAAAACAGTTGAGCTAGACATTTGATTAATATTTCTACTTAATATGAAAATTATAAAATTGATATTTAATTATCAAAATTATATAATAAATGATATCAATGTTAACAATTTAATTAATGAAAAGTTGAAGAATCAACACTCAAAATTGTGTATAATTAAATATATTTAAAATAAATTTATACCTACATATATTATATTTATAATAATATTTTTTATATTTTATTATATCTAACTATTTCAATAATATATTTATAATATTCTAAAATAAATGAATGTTGTAATACGTACTATTTCTTCTTGAGACTTCAACTATAATTTTTTTTTTATAATCTCAACTTTGATAAGATAAAGCTATCTTTTTTCTCTCTCAATCTCTCTTTCGTCTCTCATTCTCTCTTGTCGTTGGTGGCTGGTGGCTGGTGGCTGGTGGTTGGGGGCTAGTCGAGGGGAGCGCGCGCGCGACTGAGGGGGTTCGGTTGGGGGTTTCCGCGTGCTGCTGGGGTTTCTGGTCGGGGGTTGCGCGCGGCTGAGGGGTCTGGTCGGGGTTTCGCGCACGCTGTTGGGAGGTCCGGTCGGTCAGGGGGTTCCGTGCGCGGCTAAGGGGTCCAGTCGGAGGTTTTGCTCGCGGCTGACGGGGTCGGTCAGGGGTTGCACGCACGCAACTGGGGGGTTCGGTGGGGGGTTTCCGCGCGGCAAAGGGGTTCCGGTCAGGGGGTTCGCGCGGCGGAGGTTTCCAGACATGCATGCTCTCTGAGAACATGGCCAACGGAGGGAGTCGACCAAGAGCGAGGGAAGTTTTATCAGTTTTTTTTTTTGCAAAACCATTCCACCGTGGATGACCCTCATCCAATCAAATCTCTTCATTTTCAATTTGACAGGGTTAAGAACCGTTGCTTCTGCAAGCAACAAAGAGAAAAATTTAGGAACCGTTGCTGCCACGTAGATTTACTCCAACAAGAATTTCTTCTAAGCACCGTTAATTACAACTAAGACACGGAACAAGCACCTCCCGCTAGAGGTGCTCTAAGTGACTAGTATCATTGGATAAGTTCAGGACCCACCAGTTTCCAATTTTGTTTTTAATTTCACTTAATACATTTTTTGTTCATGTAATATATTAATTTTTTTAATTTTATTTTTTGAAATAGTCTTTGTATATTTTTCATTTTAGTCTTTATTGTTTTTTAGTTTATATAATATGCTTATTTTTCTTCTTTTTTATTCTTGTAAGATGTGAATAATTTGCTTTTAGTCTTGTTAATTTTTTCAAAGTGAGTAATTCAAAATAATAAAATAATAAAATAATATAAAGATTGAAATGAAAATAAATGCACTATCAAGATTAAAATAAAATAACAAAGATTTCGATAAAAGAATGTAAACACATTATCGCAAGAGAAATAATGGAACTTCTACTCGAAGACTGAAGATCAGGTGTAAGTTTGTCAGCCTTGTTACCCAATAGAGTATGAAACCAACACTCAACTGCTCTAAAGGGTGAGGATACGAGCAAATACACCTATCCAAGGGAAACAGTGCAGAAGCGCCAACACCAAAGAGACGAAGAGAAGACCCAGACAAAATGTCTACGTCTTTACTTGCCTTTGGAAAAGCAACACATAGCTATTCCAAAAGACAAGTAAAGAGGGGCAACTGTAGACACCCAATTTCGTCCGCACTAACAAAAGTAATGAAATGGATGTCTATCATCAAAGAAATGGAGCTCCCAAGCATGGAAATAATAGGACATGACATCAGAAGGCCTAAAAGCCCAAACAAGTTGGTTTTAGTAGCCAGGAACAGGCTGTTGCAAAATCAAAACGGGTCGTTCCCAATTTGGAACGGGTCGTTCCAAGTTCCTAAAAGGGCCTAAAACCCTAGTTTGGAACGGGCCATTCCTAAGTTGGAAAGGGTCGTTCCAAGCTCCTAAAAAAGGGCTAAAACCTTAATTGAAATCGGTTGTTCTTGAAACTAGAACAAGTCATTCCATGTTATAAAAATGGCCTAAAAACCCTTTTTTGGAGTTCCAGCCTAGTCAATCATGTGTTAATCTCATCTTTAGAATGGGCCGTTCTAGTTTCAGAACGAGTCGTTCCAGTTACAAAATTTTACATAGAACGGTCGGATCCAGAACAGGTCGTTCCGATTTTGGAATGGGTCATTCTGGCAACTTTTTGATGTCTATAAATAGACGACTCGGGCACAGTTCTCAGGGCCACAAAATTTTGTCCAAGACTCCTTAGAGCTCGACATTTTTCTCTCTTTAAAATTATGATTGAAATTCATTAAATAAGAAGTTGATGTTACAAAATTTTGTAATTTCTAATAAATTTTAACTAACTAAAAAGAAATGTGTTAGATAATATATTGTTAACATTTCTCTTAGTGTAATCTTTTGTATCTGATTTCTCCAAAGACTTGTAAAATGATTTTAACATATGCAGAAAACTAAACTTTTTTATTAGTAGAAAAGATTACAATAACAGCATAAGAATCAAACATCAATTCTTATATATTTATCTCAATCCTTCACCATTATGTTAACCTATAGTAGTTTGTGAAAATTAAACTCAATTAATTTTATATTCTTATTTTCTTATTATAAATACGTATGAAAAACTTATTCAACCTGAACTAATACTGTCTATTTTGATATAAATTTAGAAGAATTTTTAAAAAAAATTCCACCGAAAATAATTTCTAGTAGAAAAGCTTGGAAAGCTCTTTCAAACTTGCACCTAAACAAGCTTTATCAAAGATTCTAATCCCTTGAATGACACACACAAATGATACACTATTCCCTCTAAAATGTTTAGACCCTAGTTAAAATGGTACACTTTTGTTGCAGAAGAAGGAAGGCAGAGGTACCTGAGCCAGTGTGTTCCCCTCCACAAAGCAGCACTGAAGGGTGATTGGAAAGAAGCAAAGAAAATACTAGATCAAGACACCACGCTTCTCAACTCTGCCATAACAAAGGGTTGGGCAACAGTGCTCCATGTTGCAGTGGGAGCAAACCGTGAACACTTTGTGGAGGAACTCGTCAAACTCATGCCACCAAGATTTGGAGCTGCAAGATGACAAAAGGAACACTGCTTTCTGCTTTGCTGCAGCAGTTGGTAACGTCCACATTGCTGAGATAATGCGCAGAAAAAATCAACTGTTGCCAACGTTAAGGGGTGGAGGAGGTGTCACTCCTCTTCACCTGGCTGTGTTACAAGGAAGAAGTGAAATGGCATGCTATCTGTTTGATAAGTCTAAGGAATTTCTCTATGAAGAGGATTGGATTACACTGTTCCTCATTTCTATAAACATTGGACTCTATGGTAAGCAATTCAGTCTTCTTGATTGTGAGAATATATAAGACGATAGGTATACAACATGCTTACCATAGAGTCCAGTGTTTATAGAAATGAGGAACAGTGTAATCCAATCCTCTTCATAGAGAAATTCCTTAGACTTATCAAACAGATAGCATGGCATTTCACTTCTTCCTTGTAACACAGCCAAGTGAAGAGGAGTGACACCTTCTCCACCCCTCAACGTTGGCAACAGTTGATTTTTTTTGCGCATTATCTCAGCAATGTGGACGTTACCAACTGCTGCAGCAAAGCAGAAAGCAGTGTTCCCTTTGTCATCTTGCAGCTCCAAATCTTGGGGTGGCATGAGTTTGACGAGTTCCTCCACAAAGTGTTCATGGTTTGCTCCCACTACAACATGGAGCACTGTTGCCCAACCCTTTGATATGGCAGAGTTGAGAAGCGTGGTGTCTTGATCTAGTATTTTCTTTGCTTCTTTCCAGTCACCCTTCAGTGCTGCTTTGTGGAGGGGAACACACTGGCTCAGGTACCTCTGCCTTCCTTCTTCTGCAACAAGTGTACCATTTCAACTAAGGTCTAAACATTTTAGAAGGAATAGTGTATCATTTGTGTGTGTCATTCAAGGGATTAGAATCACCGATAAAGCTTGTTTAGGTGCAAGTTTGAAAGAGCTTTCCAAGCTTTTCTACTAGAAATTATTTTCGGTGGAATTTTTTTTTAAAATTCTTCTAAATTTATATCAAAATAGACAGACTCAGTATTAGTTCAGGTTGAATAAGTTTTTCACACGTATTTATAATAAAAAAATAAGAATATAAAATTAATTGAGTTTAATTTTCACAAACTACTATAGGTTAACATAATGGTTAAGGATATTGAGATTAATGTATAAAAATTGATGTTTGATTCTTATGCTGTTATTGTAATCTTTTCTACTAATTAAAAAAGTTGAGTTTTCTGCATATGTTAAAATCATTTACAAGTCTTTGGAGAAATTAGATACAAAAGATTACACTAAGAGAAATGTTAACAATATATTATCTAACACATTTTTTTTATTGTTAGTTAAAATTTATTAGAAATTACAAAATTTTGTAACATCAACTTCTTATTTAATGAATTTCAATCATAATTTTATAATTTTTAATAAATTTTAACCAATAATAAATAGTACTATAGATAGTAAATTAATAATACTCCTCAAAAATTAAATTATACAAGTTAATTTTAAAATGAAACTCAACTTATTTATTTATTTACTTTCAATTATGAAAACAATTATTCAAATAAGAACTTGATATAGTTTTATAGAGATTAACCATCTCATGGATTAGTAACTTACGAGTGGAAACTAAATGAAGGAGAGGCCTCCTAAACTGAGCCGAAGCTGCCCTCTGAAATAGTCATTGGAAAGATGTTGAGTCTGTTGCCGCCATTTCTGTAAATGTTAAGAGAACATACAAAAAAAAAATTGTTATATCTTTTCAGTTTTCAGTAATTAGTTAGCAACTTTAATACGCACGAAATGACAATCTTCTAATATTTATCATCCATTGGAGTCTTATAAATAAACTACTTTTAAGAACTTACGTAAAAGCCTAGAGAAAAAAATGTAATCGTTTTGACTTTGAGAGTGCCCATAAAAATAGTCCAACAATGTCTGAAAAGTAATATGATTAATTTCTTCGAAAGTGAATCACAACTAAAATTTAGCTTTAAATTTTGAAGATATAAAAGAAAGAAGAACGCAATTCATTTATATAAATAAAAAAACTTAGCTTTAAATTCACACAATTTAACACATGCGATAATCCCTCCAACATTTATATAAATAAAAAAGAACGCAATTCATTCTGACACAAAATTGAACACACAATGACCTAATACATCATCTAAATCATTCCAATCCTTTATAAAATAAAAATAATAATAACACACTTGCTAAATCACACATAATCAACCGACTGTAATTTCGCAAAACATGACATAAAAGAACAAAAGAATCAGAGACAAGAAACACTCGCAAGCATCAAGTTTCGTTTTCTAATTTCATTTATATTAGAAAGCTATGGCTAATCGGCGAGGATGCAACAGAATACAAAAAGAATGATGCGAAAACTCCAAACTCAAAGCATAAGAAATGTGAAGGATTGGAGTTCACAAAAATTAAAATACAAAGTTAATTGACCTCTTTAGTTTTTGAGTGATGAACAAGAAGAAGCCTCTGTGCTCTTGCGATGATGGAGATTCTTCAATATTCGCAAGTAACGATCCGTTACACGAGCACCTCGAGTCGGGTATATGAACTTCTTTCGGTTTTGTGATACGACGTCGTCTGTGCTGTTACTAGTGTAGTAGACTCGGCCTTCTAAATGGCTCATAAGTCATAATTACCCTTCTCTTATATTCAATAATTTTACATTTTTATTCTTACTTTTTACCTTACGGAAAACAACTCAAAATTGTGTAGTAAAAAAACTAAAACGCTCGCGCACTCTTCAAAATATGTAAGTTTGTGTCTGGGTAAGGAATTTTAAAATTTCTAACAAGTTATTAACATTAAAGTTGCAATTGATTTACATCGGTTCTCCAGAGAACCGATGTAAATTGCATTTTTTTTTTTTTAAAAAAAATCATGCTTATTTTTGGATTATTTTTTATTACCTGTAATTAAATACAAATGTATGCTCATTACAGTTCTTGGCTAATAGGAGATAAATTTATAGTATACATAAAGCAAATAGGAGGTGCATTATAGTAACATCTCATACTCCCACCAGCAAGCCTTTCCCATATGGATAACAAAATTGCTAGGTACAAGGCTTCCACCTAATGTGGTCTAGGAAGATGTAGTCTGGTGATAGATATACGCAACATTAGCCTCGCGAGCAGAGAAGCTATTTCCAAGATTTAAACCTGTGACCTCCAGGTCACAAGGAAACCTTACCTTTGAACACAGGATTACCCTTGTATCTATCTCCAAGCTACTCGACTAAAAAGCAAAAGGGACCTTTAATTAAAATTGTGAAAATGATTAACTATCCTACGATAAATGAAAAATGGGTTTTTATTTTTTTGCAATAATAAACTAATCAATATAATGGCTGCATAACAAAAGTGGTAAACTTTGTTTTATACCTGTCCAGCATCAATGAGAGCCAGCATTGCCCACCCAGTGTTCACCACATGAGACCTGTTGCCATCCAGATTTGAATACACCTGAACAAAGACAAATTGCTAGGAAGATAACTCAAGAAATGTCATCAATTAAATCGCCAAAAGTAATCCAGTCAGTGTTGATTTAAAATCTTGATGTAAAAGTTCATTTCCAAGAACCACTTGTAAAAGTTCACCAAAAGGAGGCTAAGAGTTTACATTTTGTTTTATTATATTCAATACAATTTACAAATACACAAAAAAACTAATAGAAAAAAAAAACCAATTTAGATCAAAACCTTGGCAACGTCGAGACTTTGGCAATCCATAGCAGCAACTGCAACATGCTCATACAATGTCCATTAAGTTTAAACAAACAGACCCATAATTATGTTATTTTAATATTACTATCAGGAAGTTTTTTCATTAAAGGCATTGTGTGGAAGAATTATTGCCAAAACTGATAATTACGCTGAAGTATTTGGTAGTTTCAACCTATCAAGATCAAGAATATATAACTATTAATGGCTATATTAGAACAACAATCTTAAATTTCAATTTGCACCGAGAAAAATAAGCAAATGGTTACCATAAAAGATAATGACATCCTGATTGAATCTGGAACCCAAAATGAAAATGAAATATCACATTCTGCACAAATCAGCTTTTGAGACCAGTAAAATTTGACTTAGTTGCCAGAAAAATTTAACATGCTAGACAAGATGACCAATTAACTCTTGGATCTATAGTTTTAAGGCAAATTAGAAATCCAATTTTGAACACTGAAATCTCAGCACTTTACATATTTCAGTTTTTTAATATTTAAGCAAGCTATACGAAGATATCACAATTCACAACCATGCATGGAACCATTTTCTTGACATTAACAAAGATATACTTCCTATACTCAAGTAGAAAATTATAACTCATGTTATCCCATGACTTAATAACCAAATGATTGAGTAGTTTTTTTTTGTCAACAAAAGGATAAAAGATAAAATCGCAAAATATACTAACCTTTTCTACTAATCATTTTTTTCAAAATAATATTAAATTAGATTGACTCCATGAATGAAGTCAAAGTTACAATGATATCAAACCTACAGTTAATTAATTTTATAGATACAAAATCTCACGTCAAATTCAACTATACATATAAGCTCCACACTTTCCACCAGAAAGTTAGAAAAATACTGTAAACACCAAACACATAATTACAATATCCATTTTTAATATAGTTAACCGTAATTGAATCTATTTCAAAGATTCAAAATTCTATAAAAGTGAGCCATTTAAAAAAATGTTGAGTTTCTTAATATCATTAGTAGCTTCACATGATTAATATGCAGGCACTAGGTACTGCACACTAACCTTGTTTGTAGTTCAACTAAACTACAAAATATTGGTAAATACGATCAATTAAATGAGCAGATAATGAAAGCATAACAATTAAAATCAAAAGAATTCAAAAAGGAACTCCAGAAAGTGAATTGAAAATCTAGTTGGCAAGGGCAAATATAAGGTTTAGCATAGAAATTTGAAAACAAAATAACCAGCTTCTCCATCACAACCCTCAGAAAATTCCTTTTCTACAATCTCCATAGACATTTCCTGACTAGCTTCATCTTCTCATATTCTAGACTCATTCATGTCAACAATTAAAATTTTGCATGATAGAAGTAGAATAAGCTCTTATAGTCACCCAACCCCAAATCCTAAGCCTTTCAAAATAATTTGAAAGGAAGCTTCAGAAATGCGCATAGTCACTTATAAACACATTATAAAAGAGGTTTCTCTGAGATTTGAGAAATTCAAGGAGCACAAATGCTTTCCGAAAACCCTACGAATATGAATTGTTCCCTGATGGCAAATGAACATTCTTCAATCTCATAAGGGACTCCAATAGAATGTTTAAGAGCAACAAATTACCCGTCAAATCATTCCAATAGAATGTTTAAGTCAATAGAATTTTATATTGTTGAACCTTAGAATTTTATTGTATAAGGTTAATTTTAGATTAAACCTCCTGCTGATGCCCCCTATAAGATTAAACAATATGAGACTCACTCTAACATCATTATTAACAATCCTACAGTCCATCCCTCCAGTGGTGAGGATATGATTGTTCTAACACAGTGAACCCACTCTCGCTTGGTGCCCACCTCTTAGTGTCCGTAGCTGCAGTCACCAAACTCAGATATTTTAATGGCCCATAGGTTTGGATGTCCACTTGCTCATGCAATTGGTTTGGACATCCAAAACATACCAAGTTTTCCATCCATGCTACAAATTAAGTCACATGCCTTTGATAGTCACATTTCAACAAACTTGTTAAAAGTAATCATTAGTCTAGTAGTTGTAATGATTATGTTGTGTAGTTGATGTTAACTTAAGCTAACCTGGACTATTCTTAAACTAGGATTAGCTTATCTTAATCCATAAGTTTTTAGATAACTAATTAGACTTATAGACATTTAACTAGAGTTAGTTAACTTAAGTACAAGATAACTAACTATCACTTAACCATGCTTAGTCTAGCTTGTACCATAAGCTAACTAAACTCTATATACTATAGTTTTGACCTATTTTGTACTACTTTTGAGCATACTATTGAGATTATTGAGTTTTCTCCCTAGTATTCTCTCTCTCAAAAGCTTAATTCTCTATTTGATTATTGCTTTGAATTCTCTTATCTTCTTCCTAAGAGTGTGGTAAGATTTGAAGTGGTTTATCTTCTTCCTTGAAGTGGCACCACTTGAAGAATGTTCTTCACCTTTGAAGGCGAGTCACAAGTTCTTCATCTCCATTGGAGAGCTCATTGAAGCTTAAGAAGTGTCAAGAAGGAAAAGATCCAGGAAGAAGCTTGAAGGAGAAGTTTCATCAATCAAGTCTCTCCTTGAGATTTTCATCACTAATATAGGATAGTGGGACTAATAAAAAAAATAGTTCCCTAGTAGGGGAACACATCACCTATAAATAAAATTCAAAATAAAAGGTGACATTGGAGCTGGATGTGTCACAAGTGATCCCATAGCTAGCTCCAACACCCCCAAATTGGTGTCACGTGTCAATTTTTTTTAGCACTTTTTTTTATAAAAAAAAATAAAATAATATATGACATGGGTGTCGTTAGATTGACTAGTGACACTTATGGTTGACTATTCCAAAGTGGTAAATAGTTCCAAAACAATCCTGATTATATAAATTGATTTCATAATGACTTTACACGGGTCAAAAAGTCTTTATTTTTTTTAACCTTTTGGAAGGTATTTTTTGAAATATTAACAAAAATCATTCATACTTTTGGGAAGGTTAAAAAAAACAAATCAAAGTTTCTTTTTTTGAAAGAATGATTATATTGTGCCACAAAAAATACTTTTTTGAAATTGAAAAAAAATAAGGTTCACGACCTATCTTGTTGTGCAATGTGGATGTTGAAGAATTAAATTCAATATAACACACAATCTTGACGTTGATGAATACAATGAAATTAAGTATATATAACATACAATATTGAGATTAAAGTATTTTCATTGTATAAATTGAATATAACAGTGTATTGTGATAAAATTAAGGTGAATTTTTTAATAATCGATAATAGTGAGAAAAAAAAAGATAAGGGTTTAGAGATCAATGAAGTTGTGGGGAAAAAAAACTAGATTTGTATTTTTTATATAAAAATAATTTTTGTATAAAGAATATTTATAATAATAGAGAGGAAAATGGGAGTGCATTTAGCAAATCGAGTAATGTAAATAGCAAAATGCGTAAAAGATGGAATACAAAAAATCAATTCAAGGACCCTAACAAAATCATTTGTTCTATAGAAGGCCAATCATATATACACATCTTTTTTATATATATAATTACACCTCCTTTCCTTTTTTAAAAAATAATAAATTTCTAAAATATTATTAATTTTTTTATTTTCTAATGTTTTAATTTTACACCTCCAACGTTCAATTTAACAGTTTCTCCCAGTGTTTTAAAACTCGGACCGACCCGGCCGGTCGGACCGGTTGGACCGGGAACCAGTGGTCTAGCTGGTTTGAATCTGAAGTTGGATCGGTTATGCAGTCGACCCGTTTCAAACCGGATTGAACCGGTCAATTTTCCGGTTCAACAGTGAACCGGTGGGTCAAACCGGTTCAACCACTTTTTTTTCTTATTTTTTTTTAAATTTTTTTAAGGGACCATAAATCACAAAAATAATAATGAAAATTGAATCTCTTAATGAAAAAACAAGGAGTCTTATTAAATATAACAATGACTACTTGTTCTAATATATTTGTTTGCGATATATACAACTTAAATAACTTTTACAGTATATTATTAATTTTAAATTATATATTTAATAATGCAATATCTATGTAAATATTACATATATTATTTTGTGATATTAATTGCAAGCATATTATATATGTACATATTATTTATATTTTTAATTTGTATTAATATACCGTTTAACATGTAATTTTTTTATGTATTTTTTTACAAAATAAAAATAAAAATAATTTTAAATAAGATAGAAAAATTGAAATTTAAAATAAGATATGAATTTATTAAAATTTATAAGTATAAAATATATTTAATAT